GCCATGGAGCGGGTAAACGACGCTTCTTGCGGCCCGTCGGGCTGCTACACCTACCAGGTGAGCAGACACAGCACGGAGATGCTGCACAACCTGAACCAACAACGCAAAAACGGCGGGCGCTTTTGCGACGTGCTCCTGCGGGTGGGTGATGAGAGCTTCCCAGCGCACCGCGCCGTGCTGGCCGCCTGCAGCGAGTACTTTGAGTCTGTGTTCAGCGCCCAGTTGGGCGATGGCGGAGCGGCGGACGGGGGTCCGGCTGATGTGGGGGGCGCGACGGCCGCCCCGGGCGGCGGGGCCGGGGGCAGTCGGGAGCTGGAGATGCACACCATCAGTTCCAAGGTGTTCGGGGACATTCTGGACTTCGCCTACACTTCCCGCATCGTGGTGCGCCTGGAGAGCTTTCCCGAACTCATGACGGCTGCCAAGTTCCTGCTGATGAGGTCGGTTATCGAGATCTGTCAGGAAGTCATCAAACAGTCCAACGTGCAGATCCTGGTACCCCCTGCCCGGGCCGACATCATGCTCTTTCGCCCCCCTGGGACCTCAGACTTGGGCTTCCCTTTGGACATGACCAACGGGGCAGCCTTGGCAGCCAACAGCAATGGCATCGCAGGCAGCATGCAGCCAGAGGAGGAGGCGGCCAGGGCAGCTGGTGCAGCTATTGCAGGCCAAGCCTCCCTGCCTGTGTTACCTGGGGTGGACCGCTTGCCCATGGTGGCTGGACCCCTGTCCCCTCAACTGCTGACTTCCCCATTCCCCAATGTGGCATCCAGTGCCCCTCCCCTGACTGGCAAGAGAGGCCGGGGCCGCCCAAGGAAGGCCAACCTGCTGGACTCAATGTTTGGGTCTCCAGGGGGCCTGAGGGAGGCAGGCATCCTTCCATGTGGTCTGTGTGGAAAGGTGTTCACTGATGCCAACCGGCTCCGGCAGCATGAGGCCCAGCACGGTGTCACCAGCCTCCAGCTGGGCTACATCGACCTTCCTCCTCCAAGGCTGGGTGAGAATGGGCTACCCATCTCTGAAGACCCTGACGGCCCCCGGAAAAGAAGCCGGACCAGAAAGCAGGTTGCCTGTGAGATCTGCGGCAAGATTTTCCGTGATGTGTACCATCTCAACCGGCACAAGCTGTCCCACTCTGGGGAGAAGCCCTACTCCTGCCCTGTGTGTGGGCTGCGGTTCAAGAGAAAAGACCGCATGTCCTACCATGTGCGGTCCCATGACGGGTCCGTGGGCAAGCCCTACATCTGCCAGAGCTGTGGGAAAGGCTTCTCCAGGTGAGGAAAGGCACTCCCATTGTCCCCTACTCCCCGGCCAGTCCCCTACTCCCCTGCCACGACCTTAGTCCTGGCTCATGAGATAGCTCCTTGGCAAGATCTGGGGGTGTGAGACTTGTAGGTATCAGTTGACCTTTCAGGGCCATTCCGGGTTTGGGGAGAGTGTTTCAGAGGCCCCAGTTTTGAGCTGGTGTGCCCACAAGCTGCTTTCTCTTCCTTCAGGGAAGTTCTCTGACACTAGGTGTGCCCTACTGTCTCTTCTCCTTGGGGCCTGTGGAAAGGGGCCGGATTCCTCAGGCCAGAGCCACCAGGCCTCACCATTCTTCTCCCTGGGCTCCCTTTGTGTTTCCGGCACCAGGCGTGGGGCCCCCTCTGGGGGCGGGAGACTGGGCTTCTCCAGCGACTTTCCCCGCTTGAATGACTGCCGAGGGAGGGACTGGAACAAGTGCATCTGGGACTCCTTACGCTCCCCATGACACCAAATCCTCCAACACAACACGTTGGCAGTCATGGATCAGCAGAGTCCAGCTTTACCTCTCGCACACCCTGGGATCACTGGACACAGAGTTGGGCACCCAGAGCAGTTTCTTAACACCAAAATCTCATATCTGCTCTGACCTGGTGACTCCAGAGCTGGATGGAACCCTCAGAGCCCCTTTCTGTTCTTAAGACAGAAAGGAAGGGGGGTAGGACCTTCTTTTAGATTCATTTTCTAGTGGGCCCGAGGGGGAACTGAGGACTTGTCTGGGAGCAAAAGGTTCTGCTTTTCTCTTAAAGGCTGGTTTTTAATTGGATACACGACCTTGTGTGTGTGTGTGAACCTAGGATTAGAGAATTCCCTCAGAGGGGCCCCAACCAGAAACCAGTCATACCGGTCAGGCAGCCCCTACCCACCTGCTCAGGCTGGCATCTGGCTTACCAGCCCAGCTGGGGACTTAAGGCTCCATCGCTGGCCTCTGGGGACTAAATTCCATCCGGGTGGCATTCATTGGCTGCCCGTGGCGGGAGAGGCTGGGGGAGGGGAACACTGAGTTTCTAAGGGGCTTTAGCCCTGGACAATGAATCTCACATAACCCCTCCCAGAAAGGCTGCAGCAAGACAGCCCTGTCTCATTCTCAAGCTGCCGCCTCTGGTCCTAGAAATCATTGAGTTTCTGTTGGGGGGAATTGGGAGGGTGGGTAGGCAAGATCAGAGACAAATACTTCCCTTCCCCCTCTAGAGGAAACCAGGGCAGGGAGGCCTGGGCCTGTGGAACCAAAGCTGGGTGGTGTGGTGACTTTGTCTTTGTCATGCTGGAGTGGGGGAGAGGGAGTCCTCTCCAGCAATATGTGTGTGTATGGGGTGGGGTCTGGCCGCGCGCGCGCGCG